TTTTTTTGGTTTTTATTAAAAGAACTGTAAGCACAGGAACAGGCCCTTTGACCCTGTTAGCCATAGCCATAGCCTCAAGATTAGAGGGAGCAGATTTAGGACTGAATTGAGAAGGAATTTCTTCACCCAGAGGGTTGTTAATCTATGGAATTCCTTGCCCAGTGAAGTAGTTGACGCTACTTCAGTAAACTTTTTTAAAGATAAGGTAGATTTTTTTTGAACAATAAAGGAATTAAGGGTTACGGTGAGAACGCAGGTAAGTGGATCTGAGTCCACGAAAAGATCAGCCATGATCTTATTGAATGGCGGAGCAGGCTCAAAGGGCCAGACGGCCTACTCCTTCTCCTAGTTCTTATGTTCTTATGACCCACCGAGACTGGAAAGGCAGTTCAATGGTCCCTATTAGGGGTGGCACGGTGGCTCAGTGGTTAGCATTCTGCCTCACAGTGCCAGGGACCCAGGTCTGATTCCACCCTCGGGTGCCTGTCCGTGTTTGCACATTCTCCCCATGTCTGCGTGGGTGTGCTCTGCTTTCCTCCCACAGTCCAAAGATGTCCAGGTTAGGTGGATTGGCCACTGGAAATGCAGGGTTACGGCGAAAGCGTGGGTCGGGGTGCAATGCTGTTCAGTGGGTTGATGGCCTGAATGACCTGCTCCCACACCTTGCCATTTGGATACAAAATTGGCTTAATGGCAGGAGACAGAAGGTGGTGGTTTAGGGTTGTTTTTCAACTGGAGGCTGGTGACCACCAGTGTTCCAAAGGGATTGGTGCTGGGTCCACATTTGTTTGTCATTTACATAAACGATTTAGGTGAGAATATAGAATGCATGTTTAGTAAGTTTGCGGATGACACAAAGATTGAAGGTACAGTGGACGGTGAAGGAGGTTATCTAAGACTGCAAAGAGATCTTAATCAATTGGGTCAATGGGCTGAAGAGTGGCACATGGATTTTAATTTGGGTAAATGTGAGGTATTGCATTTTGGTAAAACAAACAAAGGCAAGACTTTTCCAATTAATGGTAGGGCCTTGGGTAGTGTTGTAGAACACAGAGACCTAGGGGTTCAGGTGCATAATTCTTTGAAGTTTGCATCACATGTAGACAGGGAGTTTAAGAAGGTGTTTAGCACACTTGCCTTCATTGTTCAGACCTTTGAGTATAGGAATTGGGATTTATGTTGAGGTTGTACAGGACATTGGTGAGGCCTCTTCTGGAGTACTGTGTCCATTCTGATCGCCCTGTTATAGGAAGGATATTATTAAATTGGAGAGGGTTCAGAGGAGATTTACCAGGATGTTGCCAGGAATGGAGGGTTTGAGTTGTAAGGAGAGGCTGGATAGGCTGGGACTTTTTTCCACTGGAGTGTAAGGGGTTTAGAGGTGACCTTATAGTGGTTTATAAAATCATGAGGGATATAGATAGAGTGAATAGTGGGTGTCTTTTCCCTAGGATGGGCGTTTCAAGGCTAGGGGACATATTTTTAAGGTGAGTGGAGAAAGATTTATAAAAGACACGACGGGCAAATTTTTTACACAGAAGATGGTTCGTGCGTGGAATCAACTTCCAGAGGAAGTGGTGGATGTGGGTACAGTTACAACGTTTAAAAGATATTTGGACAAGTACAGAAATTAGAAATGTTTGGAGAGATATGGGCCAAATGCAGGCAGGTGGGACTGGTTTAGTTGGCAATTACAGTCAGTGTGGACTAGTTAGACTAATCTGTTTCTGTGCTGTATGTCTATCTGATTTATGAAGGTTCGGCATATGTCTGCTGAAGTTTAGAAGACTAAGAAATGACTTGACGGAGAGTCTTCACAGAGTGCATTTGGAAAGCATGTTTCCTCTCATGGGAGATTTTAGATCTAGGATTAAAAATACAGGCCTCCCCATTGAAAAGAGAGGTGAGGAAAATTTGTTTTTTCTCTCACACAGAGGCTCATAGACTTTTGGCACACTCTTATTCAAAATGCAGTGGATACAAAGGCATCAAATATTTTTAAAGGCAGAGGTAGCTAGATTATTGACATGCAAAGGAGCTGAGGGTTAGCGGGTGGGCTGAGTATTTGGAATAATTAGATTGGCCACAATCTTATAGTGTATTATTTAAATGGAGAAAAGCTGCAACACCAAGGGACTTGGGGCTACTTATGCATGAAATGCAGAAAGCTAACACACAATGGCAGCAGATTGGTGGCCCTTATTTCAAGGGGGTTGGTATATAAGAGTAGGGTAGTCTTCCTGCAAGGTGCTGGTGAGACCACATCTGGAGTACTGGGAGCAGTTTTGATCACCTATTTTAAGGAAAGGTATCATTTCATTGGAGAAAGTTCAGAGAAGGTTCACTAGGATGATCCATGGTATGGAGGGATTATCTTATGAGCAAAGGCTGAATAGAGTCATAGAGTAATTTATGCATGCTGCCCAGCTTTCACAATTAAACTAGTCCCATTTGCCTGCATTTGGTCCATATCCTGCCATACCTATCCCATCCATGTACCTGTCTAAATGTTCCTTAAATGACAAAATTGTACTTGCTTCCACCACTACCTCCGGCAGTCCATTCCAGGCACTCATCACCCACTGTGTGAAAAATATTGCCACTGTGGACCCTTTTGTATCTCTTCTCTCTCACCTTAAAGCTCTGCCCTCTCATTTTAGACTCCTTTACACTGGGAAAAAGCCGTTGGCTATCTACTTTATTCATGTCCCTCATGATTTTATAGGTTGGGAGTCTACTCACTGGAGTTTAGAAGAATGAAAGGTGATCTCATTGAAATGTATGGGATTCTTAAGGGGCTTGATGGGGTGAATGCTGAGAGGATGTTTCCCCCCATGGGAGAATCTAGGACCAGAAGACATAGTTTCAGGTTAAAAAGCCATCAATTGAAGACTCAATTTGAGGAGGAATTTCTTCTCTCAATGGGCTGTGGGAGGGTGGGTAGGGGGTGGCAGAGTCCTTGTGCATATTTAAGACTGAGATTTGACTACACGTTTCCAGCTTTCACTGTTATTCTTCCTGGCTCTAAAAACAGCTGTAATGCAACCTTCTGTTCTAAGTCTAGGGATTCTGAACTATGGCAAAAAAAAATTGGCTTGACATCCTCCTCAGGGTTAACCCACATATCCAGTCCTGGACGGAATTAACAGTGACATTTGCATCAGAATCCAACACTTGCTGTTAGCCTTCGTGGGACCTCATGTTAAAACCTGTGTTGTCTGTGTTTCCTGTGTTGTCTCATCTCTCCTTCAAACAAGGTAGAGAACTCCGACTAAAATGTCATGAATGAATTTGCCCAGGTGTCCCACAGTACTGAAGTGGTCAAATCACTTTGAACATAAGCTGGTACCAAAGCAAAACACTCCCAACTTTACTAGGAACAAAGTTACAATAACCTTTAATACCAAACTATGCTATCTCTAATCCTATTTCGTCCCTTAAGTTTACAATACTTACTGAGTCGCTTGTAGATTTACCCAATTGCTGTCTCTCTCTGGCACTGTCTCTGGGTCGGCAAGGCTGCTTTCTTCCTCTCTAGATGGTCAGTTGGTGTATGCCTCTTGCCATACTGGTCTCCTCAGAAGGCCTCAGAAGATGCAAGAGATTCCAAGGGAACAGTCTGCAGGTGAACCCTGTTTTTATACCTTTGAGATGGTTTTCTGGAACTTTGTGTAGTTCTGACCAATCAGGGAGATACATTTAATAGTTTGAAACAATGTCAGTTATTTGAATGGCTTGCCACTGTTTGCTTCTTTATGTCGCAGGACCCGGTGCCTTTCTGTCTGGACCCTCCTTTGTTTGGTGGATAAGTCATTGGGGGTATGTCTGTCCAGGATAACTGTTGCCTTTTACATTATGCTAATGTTATTGGCACCTAACTGCTGTGCTTGCAGTGAGCCTGGTTTGTGGGTTTGGAAATTCAGAGTTTTAATTGGCCAATATACCCCACATCCCTTGCTGCTTGGCCCAAGTCAGTGATTTACCTATGTTTTAGCAGCCAGGATGCAGGTACACTTGTAAGTGAAATTGCTGGCATGATTTAGTGATACGATCCTGATTATGGAATATCTTGTGATGTCAGTGCTATTTTGAGCTTCTTTTTAATCAATGTGACTCGCTGCTGGTGGCAAGTCGAGCAATTCTGAATTTTAATTCTAAAATTTAAATTTTAAAACTCTGAACTAAACAGATAAAGGAAACATTGCAGTTTATCCAGGGCATACAGGTTGTCCAGAGGAACATTCATAAGAAGCATCATTCTTGATTGCTACCTGATGATTACTGCATTAAGTGAAATAAAAGACTTTTGGAAGGTACATGAATAGGAAAAGTTTAGAGGATATGGGCCAAATGCAGACAAATGGGAGTAATTTAGTTTGGGAAACTTGGCATGGACGAGTTGGACTGAAAGATCTGTTTCTGTGTGGTATGACTCCATGAGTTATGGTCCACCTGGTGTCTCAGAGATGAGATGAGTGAATTTGGGGATTTAATGTATTAATCAATTAAAACCTTCTAACTGATTATAGATTTAACAGCATCTTAGGTTTGTTTAGTAGATTCTCATCAATGGTGTGAACTTTGATCTTTTACTGATAAATTCTGTGTCTGATACTACTTCTCTCTCTAACGCCTGAAGAAGGACTGAGGCTCTGAAAGCTTGTGTTTTCAAATAAACCTGTTGGACTATAATCTGGTGTCCTGTGATTTCAAACCTTGCCCATCCCAGTCCACCACCAGCACCTCCACATTATGGGTGGAATAGAATAAAACAGAATGTCCTATATTGTCACTTGTACTCCAGTACAGTAGTTACAGCAAAAAGTTTTTATAATGGCGCAATCGTAGGTACAAGTACATAGGTACAAATCTTACAGTAAAAAAAATATAGTGTTATTATACAAAAGAGGAAGAAACGACCTCAAGACTTCTCGCCCAGGTTATAAAACTACCGGGGCACTAGGACCCTGCTGCAAACAACCTCTTGTCCCGCCCATATTCCTTTACGTCACTCGCATGCGGGTTGCTCCCCGCGAACCAAGATGGCGGCGGCTCACCAAAACTTAGTCCTGGCTACGGACCCGAGTGTCGCAAAAACGGGACCTGCAGGTTGTTAACCGAGGTTTGAAGTGTTTAATAAGTGTTTATAAACGTTCGCGGTCCACTCCCTCCACCCCGGCTCCCGCCGTCCCTCCTCGGTCCCGCACCCTTACTGTCTGCCGATGCGGAAAAGAAAACAGCGTCTCTGCCCCATTGTTATCATCGTCACTACGCATGCCCCAGACCCTGGAACAGTACTGCGCCTGCGCACCGCTCCCCCGTGACCTGGATGGGGGACCTTCAGCACCGCGAGGGATGGTGGGTAAAGAACCCAACGATTGTGCGTTGGTCTCTTTGTGTAATGTGAAATGTGGGGCAAGGCGTGTTGCAATCAATAACATTACGAGGAAAATTATAGTGGGAGTGTAAAGGACACTGAGGTGCAAGAGTTTGAAAGGGGAGGTAATGGCCTGATAGTATTTTCGCTGGACTGTTAATCCAGAGACCCAGGTAATGTTCTGGGGATCTGGGTTCGAATCCTGCAGATGGTAGAATTTGAAATTCAATAAATATCCATGTGGTTCACTAATGTCCTTTAGTGAAGGGAACTGCCATCCTTACCTACATGTGACTCCATACCCACAGCAATGTGATTGACTCTTAACTGGCCTTTGGGCAATGAATGCTGGTCTAGCCAGCGATACCTTCATCCTGTAAATGAATTTTTAAAAAAATTAAAAGTAAGAGTGGAAATTGTAGACACACTGACCATTATTTTTCAGTCTTCCATAGACACTGAGGTAGTACCAGAGGACTAGAGAATGGCATTTGCTACAACCTTGTTCAGAAAAAAGTTCAAAGAGCAACTACAGATTAACTTTTGTTTTCAGTTTAATTCCAGTCAAGGGAAAACTTTTAGAAACACGAATTCAGTGCTAAATTAATAGAAAGAAGTATAAAACCGATGAATTGCAGAAAGCCATCTTAGATTTCTTGAAGGGAAAGTGTGAGTCATAATTTATTGGAGGTTTTGAAAAGATACCAGAGAGCACTGATGAGGGGAATTCTATTGATATGGTGTGGGTGGATTTCCAATAGGAAGTTCATACAGTGTCACACAACGGACTTGTGAGAAAACATACAGCTCGTAGACTTAAAGGGTTTGGAACAATTTGGATTCTCAATTGCCTGAGTGACAGGACACAAAAACTGTAGTGTTATCAAGTAGGTCTAAAAATAATGGATGCTGTTTAGGCTGGAGGAAGATTTATAGTGGAGGTACCCAGGGGCCAGTGCTAGACCCTTGTATTTACTGATATAAGTTAATGGCTAAGACTGAGGTGTTGGGGACACCATTTCAAAGCTTGTAGACAAAACAAATCAGTGTGAGCTGGCAAGATGGATACAGAACTGGCTTAGTCATAGGAGACAGGGAGTAATGGTGGAAGGATGCTTTTCAGAATGGAGGATTGTGACGAGCATGTTCTGCACGGATCAGTGCTAGGACCTCTGCTGTTTGTGATCTATATAAATGATTTGGAGGAAAACATAGCTGGTCTAATTAGTAAGTATGGGGATGATACAAAGATTGGTGGAGTTGCGGATAGTGACAAGACTAGTCAGAGGATACAGTAGGATACAGATCAGTTGGAGGCATGGGAGGAAAAATGGCAGATGGAGTTTAATCCGGAAAAATGTGAGGTGATGCATTTTGGAATGTCAAGCACAGGTGGAAACTATACAGTGAATGGCAGAACCCTTAAGAGTATTGATATGCACAGGGATCTGGGTGTGGATGTCCACAGATCATTGAAGATGGCAGTGTAGGTAGATAACGTAGTAAAAAAGGCTTACGGCATGCTTGCCTTCCTTGGAAGGGGCATTGAGTATAAGCAGAGACAAGTTATGCTGCAGCTTTATAGAACTTTAGTTAGGCCACACTTGGAATATTGCATAAAGTTCTGGTCACCACGCTACCAGAAGGATGTGGATGCTTTGGAGAGGGTCAGTAAGGTTTACCAGGATGTTGCCTGGTATGGGGGATTTTAGCTATGAAAAAAAGTTGGCTAAACTGGGTTTGTTTTCACTGGAATGCAGAATTTTGAAGGGTGTGACCTAATGGAAGTTTATAAGGTTGTGAATGACATGAATAGGGTGGAAAGTATGAGGCTTTTTCCCAGGGTGAAGTGGCCAGTTACTAGGGGACACAGGTTCAAGGTGTGAGGGGGGAAGTATAAAAGACATGTGTGAGGCACATGTTTCACACAAAGGGTGGTGAGTGCCTGGAATGTGTTGACAGAGGAGGTGGTGGCAGCAGACACAATAGCAGCATTCAAGAAGTACCTGGACAAATATATGAATAGGAAAGGAATAGAAGGATACAGATTCTGTAAGTGAAGACAGTTTTAGTATGGAAGGACAAAATGTGGTGGCGCAGGCTCGGAGGGCTGAAAGGCCTGTTCCCATGCTGTTTTTTTTTTGTTCTTAGGTTTAAACCTTGGATGCATCATATATTGTAAGGAAGATAGTATTGAGCTTCAAAAAGTTGTAGATAAGGGGACGGAGTGAGTGCGTTTATGGCAGATGATGTTCATTGCAGAGAAATGTGAAGTAATTCATTTTGGTAGGAAAAACATGCATTTAGCACGCTTGTCTTCATTGCTCAGACTTTTGAGTATAGGTGTTCTGAGGAAGGGTCACCGGACCCGAAACATTAAATCTGACTTTTTCTTCGTAGATGCTGCCAGACCTGCTGAGCTTTTCCAGCAACTTCTGTTTTTGTTTTGAGTTTAAGAGTTGGGACATTATATTGAAGTTGTACAGGATGTTAGCGAGGCCTATTCTGGAGCACTGTGTCCAGTTCTGGTCTCCCTGTTATACGAAAGATATTACTAAGCTGGAGAGGATTCAGAGAAGATTTACCAGGATGTTGCTGGGAATGGACGGTTTGAGTTTTAAGGAGAGGCTGGATAGTCTGGGCCTTTTCTTCACTGGAATGTAGAGGTTGAGAGGTGACCATATGGAGGTTTATAAAATCATGAGTATAACTAAGGTGATTGGCAAATGTGTTTTCACTAGGGTGGGAGGTTTCAAGACTAGGGGGCATATTTCTAAGGTAAGAGGAGAAAAATTTAGAGAAGACATGAGGTGCAATTATTTTTACACAGTGGTTTGTGAGTGGAATGAACATCCTGAGGAAGTGGTGGATATGGGCATAGTTACAACCTTTTAAAGACATTTGGACAGGTAAGTGGATAGGAAGGATGTAGAGCGATATGGGCCAAATGCAGGCAAGTAGGACGAGTTTAGTTTGGGAAACTTGGCCTTTGTGAAAGTGCTGACGAAGTTAATGTGAATGGTTCCAGAGATGGGGATCTTCAGTTATGCAGATCAATTGGAGAAGATCGTACTGTTTCTCAAGGGGAAGTGTAGGCTGAGAGGAGATGTGATTGAATCATGAGGTTCACAATCATGAGGTGTCTGGACAGAGAATCTGTTCCTGCTTGTGAACGCATCAAGAATAAGAGGATAGAGATTAATTGGGACAGAGAGGACAGAGGATAATTGAGGATAAAAGAGAACAGAGAATAATTGGGCAAAAGAAGCAATATGAGACAAAACCTTTTCATGCAGCAAATGGTTACGGGCTGAAAAACATTGACTAAGTGTATGGTGGGGCCAGGTACAACTGAGGCATTCAACAGGGAAATGAATGGTTCTTTGAAGAGTAAGAATGTGTAGTGTTATGTGGAGAAAGTAGGACAAAGGCAGTAAGTGAGATGCTCACCAGATGGCTGGTTCAGACATGTTGTCTTAAATTACCTCCTCCTGTGCTGGAAGGGTTTTGTGATTCTGTGAACATTTGACACCAAACCACATTGACATCAGGCCAGGTGATCAAAAGCTTGGTCAAAGAGGTCGGTTTGAAGGAGTGTCTTAAAGGAGGAAAGTGAACTGTGGAGTTGGAGAGGTTTTGCGAGGGAATTTCAGAGCTTATTGTTTCCCGTGGCAAAACAGGGATGCTCAAGAGGAAAGAATTAAAGGAACTCAAAGATCTTGGAGGCTTGTGGGATCAGAAGTGATTGTGGTGATAGGGAAGGGCATAGTCAAAGAGAAAGTTCAAAACAAAGTGGGCGGCCGGTGGCTCAGCGGTTATCACTGTTGCCTCCCAGCGCCAGGGAGCTGGGTTCGATTTCACCCTCAGGCGACTGTCTGTGTGGAGTTTGCATGTCTCCCAGCGTCCTCGTGGGTTTCCTCCGGGTGCTCTGGTTCCCTCCCACAGTCCAAAGATGTGCAGGTTAGTTGAATATGCATTGCTAAATTGCCCTATAGTGTCCAGGGATGTGCAGGCTGGATAGATTAGCCATGGGAATTTCAGAGTTATGGAGATAGAATGGGATGCTGTTCAGAGGGATGGTGTGGAATGTATAGGCCAAATGGCCTGCTTCAACACTAGGGATTCTATGATTCTATAATTTGGAAATGGAAGATGTGCAGGGAAATGATCACAGGAGCAATGGCTGAATAAGACGTTGTGAGAGTAAGGACACAGACTGTAGAATTGTTGGTGATCTCAGATTTACGAGGTGGTTTGAATGTGGGAGGCTACACAGAACAGCCAAATTTCAAGGTGACAAAGAAGGGGATGAGGGTTTCAGCAGGTGTTGAGCTGAGAATAGATATTGTTCTGTGGTCAGAAGCTCAGCTGGAGGCGAAATATGGTACTTGTGGATTGTGACCGGTCTTTACCAGTCTCAAGGAGAGGGATGGAGTCTGAAGAAAAAGAACAGAGTTTGTAGCAGGGCCTGAAGACAATAGCTTTGGTCTTCTCTATTTAAGTAGAAGACATTTCTGCTTCTCCGGTGCTGGGTGTCAGACCGGCCAGAGTGTTGTGTGTGTTGGTAGGGAAACAAGAATAGGAGCAGGAGTGGGCCATTCAGCTCCCAAAACCTGCACCACGATTTGACCAGATCATGGTTGATTTGCCCCATGCCTCAACTTCTCTTTTGTATCAGCTCCTCAGAGCCCAAAGCTTCCCGATATTTCAAAGATCTATCTCCCTTTTCTTTGAATTCAACTAACCAGCCTCCACCATTCTCTGGGTAGAGAATTCTGGACATTCTTGGACCCTCTGGGAGAAGAAATTTCCCGCATTCAGAATTAAACGAGGGCTCCTTAGTCTATAACAATATCTGCTAGTTTCAGTCATAGTGTTATACAGCATAGAACTGAACTCTTTTGTCCACGTTTACCATATTCCCAAACTAAGCTAGTCCCACTTGCCTGCATTTGGCCCATATCCCTCCAAACCTTTCCTATTCATGTACTTGTCCAAATGTCTTTTAAACGTTGTAACCGAACCTGCATCCATCACTTTGACTGGCAGTTCATACATGAACCACGCTGTGTATAAAGAGGTTGCCCCCATGTCCATTTTAAAACTTCCTCCTTTCATTAAAATAAATGTTCCCTAGTTTTGAACTCCTCCACCCTAGGGAAAAGACCCTTGCTATTTTCCTTATATATGCCCGTCATGATTTTGTAAACCTCTCTAAGGTCACCCCTCAATCACCATTCCTGACAATATCCAGGTAAATCTTTCCCGAACACTCTCTAACTTAATGATATCCTTCCTATACCAGGGCAACAAGAACTGTACACCTTACTCCAGAAGAGGCCTTACCTACGTCCTGTACAACCTAAACATGACGTCCCAACTCCGAGAGTCAATGTCTGAACTATTGAGGCAAGATGCTAAATGCTTTCTTAGCCACCCTGTCTATCTGTGACACAAATTTCAAAGAATTATATACCTGAACCCCTTGGACTGTCTGTTCTACAACACTACCCAGGGCCCTACCATTAATTGTTTAAGTCCTGCCCTTGTTTGAATTACTAAAATGCAATACCTCGCATTCATCCAAATTAAACTCCGTCTGCCACTCCTCAGCCCATTGACCCAATTGATCAATATCACTTTGTAATCTTAGATCACCATCTTCACTGCCCAGTTTACTACCAATTTTGGGCAGCATCTGCAAACTCACTAGCCATGCCTTCTATATTCTCATCCAAATCATTTATATAAATGACAAACAAAATTGGACCCAGTACCAATCCCTGTGGAATATCACTGGTCACAGGCCTCTAGTCCAAAAAAAAAAGCGTGCACCACCACCCTCTGTCTCCTTCCGTCAAGCCAATTTTGTACCCAGTTGGCAAGCTCACCCTGAATTCCATGTGATCTAACTTTACTAATTAGTCTACCATGCAGAACCTTGTCAAAGGCTTTACTAAAGTCCATATAAACAATGTCTACCACTCTGCCCTCATCAATGTTTTTGGTTACTTTCTTAAAAAGCTCAATCAGATTTGTGAGTTACGATTTCTTTCACACAAAACCATGCTGACTGTCCCTAATCATTCCTTGCCTCTCCAAATGCATGTAAATCCTATCTTTCAGAATCACCAACAACGTACCACTGATGTCACACTCACAGGCCTATAGTTCCCAGGCTTCTCATATTCCCAGCATCCTCTGCACATCTACCCTCACAATCATCCTCAGAATTTTGTAGGTTTCGATAAGATCTCCATCATTTTTCTAAACTCAGGGCCTAAATTGTTCAGCCACTCTGGATAAGTCAACCCTTTCATCCCAGGAATCAACCTAGTGAATCTTCAGAGGTGATGATGCTCACATACACCCACTGCCCTGATCCTTCTGGTTGGTGGAGTTTGAGGGTTTGGGAGATTCTGCTAGTAATGGTTTGAGATGTGGATGTATAAAATCCCGTTTCATTCAGCACCCTCTGATGCTCCCACCCTCTGGCTGCCCTCCCAACGAAACCAGAGTCTGGCGTAATTCCAGACTGGGTGACAGATTCGCATCCCTGATGAACATTAGTTGAGTTTTTATGGTAAATCAACATCTTCCCGTGGCTGCTTTGTCCTCGTGTCATTCCCACAGATGACCAGATTCGTTTAGCTCAACTTCACAACCTGTCTTTGTGTTTTTTCATGGGCTCTTTCTGCTTCCTTTCTTTCTGTTTTAACTCCATTTCACAGGGTGTTAGAAGGAGAGGATTTGCAGCCGGGAAACCTGAACCATACATCACATTTGTGCCTGACATAGCCACCAATTTATCGTAACTTGAGCAACGTTGGATCTTGAGCATGGAAGGGGAAAACACTGTTCACAGCGGGGAGAAACTGTTCACCTGCTCTGTGTGCGGGCAAGACTTCAGCCGATCGTCTGCCCTATCGCGACACAAGCTCTGCCATACCGGCGAGAAACCGTGGAAATGTGGGGACTGCGGGAAAGGATTCAATTATCCGGTTGAACTGGAATCTCATCGGCGCAGTCACACCGGGGAGAAACCATTCACCTGTTCTGAGTGCGGGAAGGGATTCACCCTGTCGTGCAACTTGTTGGCTCACCAGCGGGTTCACTCTGATGAGAGACCTTTCAAATGCCCGGACTGTGGCAAGTGCTTCAAAAGTGCCGGGGAGCTGATGCGCCATGAACGCATTCACACTGACGAGAGGCCGTTCCGATGCTCTGACTGCGGGACCGGGTTCAAGCAGTTATCTGACCTCACCGTCCACCAGCGGGTTCACACCGGGGAGAAGCCCTTCACCTGCCCTGACTGTGGGAAAGGATTCACCCAGCTGGCGAACTTGCTGACCCACCAGCGCATCCACACCGGGGAGAGGCCGTTCACCTGCTCGGTGTGCGGGAAGGGGTTCACCACCTTATCCAACCAGCTGGAACACCAGCGAGTTCACACCGGGGAGAGGCCATTCACCTGCTCCGTGTGTAAGAAGGGATTCGCTCACTCATCCACCCTGCTGAGACACCAGCGGGTTCACAAGTAAACCAGTGTGATCGGATTAATCACATCCAGGACTGGAAACATTATCACCGCGGTTTGTTTCTGCTGATGTTAATTCCTAAAACTGAGCTGGAGTTTAATAATATTCTGGATAAAAGTCAAAATAAATCATTTCAAACATTTTAAAGAGATGCATGTCAAGCCTTTAATTTCTTTGTCATGAGTGAATTTGTTTTGAGTTGTGCCTCTCTCTTTTTCATTTTGCCTCCTCCTGGCTTCCACTGTGTGCTCACGAAGGAGGGTCTTATGGGCTTCTTTATCCCTCATGATTCAGGCTATCCAATCAGCTGTTTGTTCTACTTCCCTCCCTTTCCCAAACCCACTGGGCCAAATCTTCTTTAAACTTCCTATTTGTCCAGGCCCTGAAATGTGCATGTTTCTCTAGTTTCTTTCTTCTTTCCCCTCACATTTTCTCAGGGTTTATTTTGTCCCTTAGACCCACCTGACCACTCAACCACATTCCCACTAGACAACTGAGTACAGAACAGAGGGAGGGAGGGAAGGAAGGGAAAATTCCCCAGCTCTGCACCAGACAGCTAACGATCCTGAATCAGTGTCCGAGGCTCCGCAAGGTGTTGCAAAACCTCTCCTGGACCAGTTACTGGCTCCATCCCTCCTGGCTGTAGAAGTGACAAGCAAGTGACTGTGGAGGGGATAGCTGACATTGCATATGGTCCACGTTTACACAAGCAAAGACAGGATGGCACTGCACACGTACACTGGTCTGTTGATTACCGGCTGTGCTCTGAACATACTCAGGACTGAAAGTGGAGGAAAGAAGTGGAGAGGTGTGTTTGGATTTTGGCCCAGGGTGAAGGGACAGTGTGTTGTGCGGGACAGGGATTTACAGCTTTTGGGGAAACAAAACGGTAGGAGAGAAAGAAATGTCCTGTAGAAACTGGAATGGTCTGAATTTCTATCCTGTATTGACTGCAATGACTTTTGTCCTTTTGCAGGTCTTTAGAAGCGAAGGATTTTCAGATGGGAGACTCAAACCAAACATCGCATCAGGATCTAACAGAGTCACTCAGTTCATCAGAACCTGTATATCATCAGCCTTTGACTGTGGAAAGTGAAATGTTTCTCTGTTCTGTCTCTGCAATAAGGTTTTGAATATTCAGCGAGACTGGAAAAGTACCGATGGATGTATGCACCCAAGTCAGGTTGTTCCGGTGAACCTACAGTGGAGAGAGCTGCAACCAGTTCCACAACCTGAGAAAGATCAAAACATTCACAGTACGGGGGGGATGTTATCAGTGTGTTTTGTGTATGGATGAGGCCCAACCCCTGAGAACCACAAGGACACCCACACCATGGAGAAACTGCGGAAATGTTTGGACTGTGGAAAAGGATTTAATTACCCATCCCAGTTGGAAATCCATCAATGCAGTCACACCGGGGAGAAGCCACGCACCTGTTCCGTGTGCGGGAAAGGATTTACTCAGACATCCTCCCTCATGTTACACCAGTGAATTCACAGTGAGGAGAGGCCGTTCAGCTGCACTCACTGCGGATAGATGTTCAGATCTTTGTCCGATCTGAATCAACACTGGCGGGTTCACACTGGGGAGAGGCCTTTCACCTGCTCCATGTGTGGGAAGGCATTCACAAAGTCATCCAATCTGGTGACTCACCAGCGGATCAATTCCGAGGAGAAGCCATTCAACTGCACTCACTGCGGAAAGAGGTTCAAGCATTCGCACAGCCTCAGTGAACGCCAGCGGGCTCACACTGGGGAGGGGCTGCTGACCTGTCCTATCTGTGGGAAGACCTTCACAAAGTTGCACAATCTGATGGTTCACCAGCGAATTCACACAGGAGAGAAACCATTCACCTGCTCCGTGTGTGGAACGAGATTCAGTCTTTCATCCGCTCTCAAGTCACACCAACTAATTCACACTAAGGAGAAGCCTTTCAGCTGCACTTACTGTGATAAGAGTTTCAGATGTTCGTCCACTCTCCTTGTTCACCAGCGAGTTCACACCGGAGAGAGACCATTCACCTGCTCTGCGTGTGGGAAAGGATTCACCAGGTCCTTCAACCTATTGGCTCATAAGCAAGCTCATAAATGACTGCAGGAGATGCGTTCTGCTGTTACTAATGCTGTTAATCACATCCAGGATTGGGAGTCTGACAATATTAGGTTGTTTCTTCTGAAGTTAACAACGCTGTAACAGGCTGGAATTTAATTTTCTGGACATATCACTGATTTTCAAGGTTGCAATTTCCCCCTTTTTCTCCTTGAAAAGTGCCATATTCAATCCTTCCCTTTAATTCAAGAAATCTCATCCAGAACTCAATAAATTTTTGAACTTTTACTTCAATCTTACATTGACCTTTGGCGCAAAATCTACAACTCAGTGTCTGAAAGGTACCATCGACAAACAACTCCAATTAGTTGATTAACCCTTCCTGACAGTTCTTGCACATTCTATCACCGTGGTGCCTCCATTACGAAGTTATGTTATTGAGGAACGAGAAACAGAACAGTGAAATATTTTACAGGCACATCAATAAAACCTTCATCAATCGACATTGGTATTGACAAAGGTTAGAAGTTGCTGAGTTCATTCATTCCAGCCAAATTGCACATGCGTAGAAACTCCCAGCCACTGCTACAACTTCATGACCTCCTATTCTAGATGGATGTCTGCAAAGGGTCATGTGTTTCTGTTGTGGGTTTTGATGTAACTGAATTTCAAACCACTCATCTTTGAGCAAACAGGGCAGGATTTTAATCCTTTATTCATTAATGCGATGAGGGCATCACTGGCTAGGCAGCATTTATGGCCCAGCCCTAATTGCCCAGGGGGCAGTTCAGAATCAACTGCATTGGTGTGGGTCTGGAGTCACGTGTAGGCCCGACCAGCTAAGGATGACAGTCTCCTTCTCAAAAGGACACTAGTGAACCTAGTGCGATTTTCTGACAAGTAACAATGGATTCGTGGTCATTAGATTCTTAATTCCAGATATTTTATTGAATTCGAATTCCACCATCTGCTGTGGTGGAATTGTGAACTTGGGTCCCCCAGATTGTTATCTGGGTCTCTGGATTAACAGTCCAGCGATAATACCACTAGGCCATTCCCTCCATCTTAATGACCCCTCCTGTTCCAAAGACTAATGGATTGTTTCCCCTATGTCTGTAACATGGTTTTCTTTGCTGTAAACGTCAGGAAGCTAGGCTGTGGGGCAGGGTGTCACATCTTTCATCTCTGATACCATTGAATAATACCCCACAGAAGCAAATCATTAAGTGCAGAGAAAGCTGCGACCATGTCTGGCTGACTCTCCAATTGTGGATCCTCATCAGGCAATGGCGACTGCTCTAGCTCAAGCATTGAGCCTGTTTGCAGGATGGAACATGGTCATGTTCCGAGGATTTTCCTTGATGGCTGCTGGAGGATCAGCAGGATGTCTAAAAACATGTTCTAAGGATGCTTGCAAGCCTGACATGGAGGTCCAAAATATTGACTTTCACACCTGGGAGACACTGACTGACAACAGAGGAAGATAGCAACATCACATCACCTGTGGAGTGAGCATATGTCTCCATGGCATTCAGTAGCTACAGTGAACAGGCAGCAACACCGAAAACAACAACAATGTACATTGTCACCTGAAATTCATTTCACATGTGGCAGAACCTGCCTCTTGCAGATAGGGCTCTTCAGACATCAATAAAAGTACTGCAGGTACCTCATCTTACAGATATGGAAGGTTGGCAACAGAATATCACCATCCTCTAGTTCATACACTTGCTGTGACCTTCCTGCTGATTTGCTCCACTATCTCTCTCTCTCTAATCATTTGAAGCCTTGTAAACTATCTATTGCTTTCAACAGAATTTTCTTAATTCTGAGCTTGAACTTTGGTTAGGCCACACTTACAGCATGCATTCAATTCTGGTCACCACATTACAGAAAAAGATGTGGAGGTTTTGGAGCGGGTCTTGGAGCGGGTGCAGAAGCAGTTTACCAGGATGCTGTCTGAATTAGAAGGTATGAGCTATAAGGAGAGGCTAGAAAAACTCGGGTTGTTTTCTCTGGAGCAGCGGAGGCTGAGGGGAGACTTGACAAGCGCCTATAAAATTCCGAGATACATAGACAGGCTTGACAGTCAGAGTTTTTTCCCCCGAGTTGAAATGTCTAAAATTATGGGGCGTGCATTTAAGGTGAGATGGGCAAAGTTCAAAGGAGATGTGAGGGACAAGTTTTTTGACACAGAGAGTGGTAGGAGGCTGAAATGCACTGCCAGGACTAGTGGTGAAGGCAGATAGGATAGGGGCATTTAAGGGACTTTTAGATAAGCACATGAATATGCAAGGAATGGAGGGATATGGACCAAAGGCAGGCAGAAGGGATTAGTTTAATTTGTTGTCATGTTTGGCACAATGTAGGCCAAAGGACCGTTCCTGTGCTGTACTGTCCAATATGTTCTAAATTAATTCTGTCCTTGCACCTTCAATAAAATCCTCTTTACAAAACAAGACAACATCTCCTATAATCAGCACTGCCACCCATCTCCTTTCTTTTCTGAACATGTATCTGAGAATATTTATTATCCTGTCTTCACATTAAGCAGCTTTTTGCTGTTGCTGCAGATAGCCATATTCCCAAGTGGCTATTTATGCTTGTAATTTCTAACCTTAGTCACCAAATTTATGCATTTACGTGCAGTTATTTTGAGAGATGAGACCTGCCAAAGGCACAATGAACTGAATGATTTCCTTTGTGCTGGAACTTCTTGAGCCTCTCAATGAGTCTTTCCTTCACCATCCCCTTGACTTTGACATCATTCCTGGTGTAAGATAGCATAAACCTGGAGCAATATTCTAACTGCAGCTAAACCAGTGATTTACCAGTTTACTTCACAAATGTAGGGTAATAGGTCCAAACAACATTTTAAACTTAAAAGAAACCCAATGAACTGTGAATGCTGGAGATATGAAACAAAAACAGAAATTACTGGAGAAACTCGGCAGCATCTGTAGGGAGAAAGTAGAGTTAACGTTTCAGGTGAAGTTCTGAATTTAAATATTTTAATATGGAGCTGCCTAACTGACCAGTTCTGAAGAAGGATCACTGGACCAGAAATGTTAACACTGTTTTCTCTCCACAGATGCTGTCAGACCTGCTGAGTTTCTCTAGCAATTTCAGTTTTTGTACCACATTTTAAACTTGTCCTTCAAGCTTATAGCTTTGTGTGCCTAAAGCACCTGTAACATGCCTAAGATACATCGAGATAAAGTGTCTGATAGATTGTGTGTGATACTGATTACATATACATTCAATGTAGAAAATCCGCAGGCTGCAGCCTCTCATTTTGTCCGAAGGCTGTGCTGGTGGTTTTAAACTCCTCCCTTAATCTTTTACTGTTCCCACAAAAGAAACCTAATGCGGAAGTTAGATTCCGGACATGAAGCCGCCTTTCCCCTTGTTTTCACCACAGAGAGAAAGAAAGAGAGAGACGCGAACAAAATATCAGAAGTTGGTCCGGGAACATGAAATGGCGGTCCTTTTACCCAGCATGCACCGTAGCGACGAAAGCCCTTTATGCCCAGCGCGCGGAACTGTGCGCACGCGCGGTATCGGGGGAGTGCCGGGCATGCGCAGGCCGGGTAATGGCGATGGCGAGTCGTTTGTTTGTGTCTCTGCGGATGGTGAGTGGCGGCGGCGGAGGAGCGGCGCCGAATAACGGGCCGGACCGGAGTGGGGAGGGTCCGTTAATACCCGGTGCAGGTTTCAAACGCCGAATATCAAATCCGCGGTTCTCGCTTTTATCTCTCCGAAGATTTTTTTTGAAACCCCCCCCACCGGCGCCATCTTGTTCCAGCGCACGGCGGCGGGTTGGAGGGGGAAGAGAGTGGGGATTACTGCGCGTGCGCCACAGTCTAGGGATGACGTAAAGAACAAGAGAAGATCATTCAGCCCCTCGAGTCTGCTCCACCATTCAATAGTATCATGGCTCAACTCATCTCAGCCTTAACCTCCGCTTTCCTGCCCGCCCTCCACAAACATTTCAACCCATTGCTGATTGAAAAATCTATCCTCCACTTCGTAGAATCGTTACAGTGCAGAAGCAGACTATTTGGCTCGTTGAGTCCACCCTGACCCTCCCAACAACTTCCCACCCAGACCCACCCGATCCCTGTAATGTTGCATTTCCTGTGACTAATCCACCTAGTCTGTATATCCCTGGACGCTATGGGGCCATTTAGCATAGCCAATCTACCTTAACCTGCAGGGCTTTGGGCTGTGGGAGGGAACTGGAGCACTCGGAGGCAACCCATGCAGATACGGGGAGAACGTGCAAACTCCACAGAGACAGTTGCCCGGGGTTGTAATCGAACCTGGGTCCCTGTTGCTGTGAGGCAGTGGTGCTAACCACTGAGCTACTGTGCCTGGAATTTACTCAATGTCCTGGCATCCACCACACCCTGCAGGAATGAATTCCACAGATTCACCACCCTTTTAGCAAAACAACCAAGGGTAGCATTTATACAATTAATGGTAGGTCTTCAGACAGTGCTGTAGGACAGAGAAAACTAGTGATTCAGGTACTTAATTCTTTGAAGTTTGCCTCACATGTAGAGAAAGTGGTTAAGAAGGTGTTCAGCATGCTTGCCTTCATTGTTCACTCTTTTGAGGACAGGAATTAGACCATCATGTTGAGGTCGTACAGGATGTTGGTGAAGCCTCTTCTGGAGTACTGTGTCCAGTTCTGGTCACCCTGTTATAGGAAGGATATTATTAAGCTGGAGAGGGTTCAGAAAAGATTTACCAGGATGTTGGTGGAAATGGAAGGTTTGAGTTATAACGAGAGGCTGGATAGGCTGGGACTTCTTTCACTGGAATGTAGGAAGATGAGGGGTGACCTTGCAGAGGTTTAATGTCATGAGCATAGATAGGGTAAATGGTGGATGTCTTTTCCCTAGGGTGGGGATTTCAAGACTGGGGACATATTTTTAAGGTGAGAGGAAAGAGATTTACAAAGGACATGAGGGGTAACATTTTTACACTGAAATTGGTTCATGTGTGGAATTGGTGGATGCGGGTACAATTACAATGTTGAAAATACATTTGGATAAGAACATGAATAAGAAATGTTTGGAGGATGCAGGCAGGTGGGACTAGTTTAGTTTGGGAACATGGTTGGCATGGACTAATTGGACTGAAGGGTCTGTTTCTGTGCTGTATGGCTGTATTTTAAGTCTGCAAACCCCTTCTCCTAAATCTACAATGTCTCACTCCAAATTGCCCCACATGATGAAATGTCCATGCCACATTCACTTTGCAATTCCCTTTAGCATCGTATGTGCTTCAGTTAGGTCTCCCCTCATTCTTCTAAACTCCAGAGACTATCGGCCTAAACTGCTTAATCTGACTTCAGAAGACAAACCCCTTGTGTTTGGAATCATAGTGAACTTCCTCAAATACAACTACATCCCTCCTCAAGTTAAGGGACTAACATTGTATGCGATACTCCAGGTGCTGTCTCACTAATGCCTTATACAGTTGCAGCAACACTTCCCTACTTTTATACTCCATTCTTTAGCAATAGATGCCAAAATTCCATTTGCCTTCCTTGTTACCCACTCTACCTGCAGCACTGCAGTGACCCAACAAAGAGGCTCCAGGCTTCCATGACCAGGAGAGAAAATGATTGACTCATTGTGGTGGGTGAAGTGAACCCAGCAGAGAGAGGAGCAAAACTGGGACTGAAGAAAGAGACGGTGCAATGTATTTGGATTTCAGCCTGGAGAAGAGGAGAGTGTGTGGGACAGGGAATTACAGATTTGGGGAGCAGGAGAGAAAAGAATGTTCCTTAGAGACTGGAATTGTCTGTTCTGAATTTCTCCCCTACAGTTACAGTCTCTATTTACAGGAAATTACAAGGGGAGGATTGCAGAAGGGTAACTTAAAGTAAACATCATGTTAAGATTTGACAGTGATTCAAATCATTAGCATGGAATATCACCAGCCTTTGAATATGGAGGAAAAAATGTTTGTCTGTTCTGTCTGTAGGAAACGTCAGTGTTACTGGAAAAGTACCGAGACACATGCACAGCAAAGTGATCGTGTTTCAGTGCACTGACTGTGGAAAGAGACTTAACCAGTTACACAGCCCGAATATAAATCACACTGTTCACAGCGGGGGAACCGCACTTGTGTCCTGTCTGTGGACGAGGCTTCGACAACTTGAAACAAGAAAAGACATCCTTACCATGGAGAAACCGTGGAAATGTGGGGACTGTGAGAAGACATTCCCATGCCCGTCCAAGCTGGAAATTCATCGACGCACTCACACCGGAGAGAGACCCTTCACCTGCTCTGTGTGTGGGAAAGGATTCACTCAGTCATCCAACCTAGAATTACACCAGCGTGCTCACACAGGGGAGAGGCCCTTCATCTGCTCCGTGTGTGGGAAAGGCTTCATTTATTCATCCAACCTGTTGACGCACCAACGGGTTCACACCGAGGAGAAGCCCTTCAGCTGTGTCTCCTGCGAGATGAGCTTCAGGTTCCCATCCAGCCTGCTGATCCACCAGCGGATTCACACTGAGGAGAAGCCGTTCAGCTGCACCGACTGCGGGAAGCAGTTCCGGCACTCTGACAGCCTTGTCGTGCACCAGCGCATCCACACCGGTGAGAGGCCGTTTACCTGCTCAGAGTGCGGGAAGGGATTCATCGATTCATGCCACTTGCTTAGGCACCAGCAGGTTCACACCGGGGAGAGGCCGTTCACCTGCTCAGAGTGCGGGAAAGGATTCACCCAGTCTTCCACCCTGCTGAGGCACCAGCGAATTCACACTGGGGAGAGGCCGTTCACCTGCACGGAATGTGGGAAGGGGTTCACCAGCTCGTTCCACTTACTGAGACACCGGCGGGTTCATACTGGAGAGAGGCCATTCACCTGCTCCCAGTGTGGGAAGGGCTTCACGACTTCATCGCACCTACTGAGACACCAGCGGGTTCACACGGGGGAGAGACCTTTCAGCTGTTCCCAGTGTGGGAAGGGATTCACGACTTCATCTCACCTATTGAGACACCGGCAAATTCACGCCATCGAAAGGCCTATGAAAAGCCCAGACAGCGGGAAGTGCATTCAAAGCTCTGAGGAACTGCAGCCCCATCTGTTGTACAAGGAAGTTAGTACCTAAGATGCTGAACTAACATGAGATAGGCTTCAGATAACTGAGCCTGACCAGCTAAACCAACTGCATCCACAAACTGAAACAAAATCCCACAACTGCCTTCAAGTAAATTATTGAAATCCAAGAAGTAACAGCAGTTAAATATGGGGACAATTGAGAAAGATCTCACAGTTCCAAGCAGATTTAAAATCACAAATACCATAGACACGTAATTAACCTGGATTATGTGGAAGAGACAATTCATTTGGTACAGAATTGGTTCCAGATTGCAGAAGAAGCCCAGAGAAGAACAAGTGAACACGTTTCTTTACTTGGCGGATCCAGTAGCAGATCATATCTTAAGACAATAGAATTCAAAAGAAGTGACAGGTAGTTTTGATAACATTGTCAGAGCATTTGACAAAGCACCAAATGCATAATAGCAATATATGATAGAAGAAATTAGCTTCTAGGACCATCTGTTGACAACTTTATTAATCATCGTTATAGGTTGTAAGAATTTTGAGATTATGGAAAAATGCAACGAGAACAAATTTGAAACAGAATTGTCATCGGAATTTCTTATCAGTTTCTTTCTTGGATGTTACAATCAATAGATTTCACATTTGAAAGGGCTATCCAGATATTGGCGGAATAATCAAACAGTACAAGAGAACAGAAAGCCAATCCTGTTCAAGAGGTTTGTCAGACTTGGTTAACTTTCTAAGGTGCAAAAATACCAAAACCATCACACAGACCAGCTCAAATATCTTCAAGCCCTTTGATGCTCGAACTCATTGTTCCAGATATGGAATTAATTAAACTGTGTAAACTGAAGTAATGCCCAGCTTTATCGCACCAGTGCAACTTTTGTATGAGAATGGTGATTCCCAAAGCATGTACAAAAGTCAAATACTATCTTTCAACCACAGTGCTAGTAAAGAACAAGTGCTTAACATCTTACTGCAAGCTCCTGTGGGGTGGGTAAAAAAAGACAGATGATCAGGACTGCCCATCACTGGAGTATATATCTTCACATTGATGAGATGCTATCTTTGGAAGAGACAACTGAACCTTTCCTGGGGGTGACTCAACTTCACCAGATATGACAGAGATCATACAGGCCATCCAATCCCCACGGCCTGATAATTGTCATCCCAGAGTACTGAAGAAAAATGGCATGAAATATAGTGGATGCATTGGTGGTCATCTTCCAAGACTCTTTAGACTTTATAACTCTTCATTGAGATTTGAGAGTAGCTAATATAACCCCACTATTTAAAAAGGGAGGTAGAGAGAAAACAGGGAATTAAAGACTAGTGAGTCTGACGTTGGTAGTGGGGAAGACGCTAAACTCCATTATCAAGGATTTTACAGCAGAGCATTTAGAAAACAGTGGCAGAATTGAACACAGTCAGCATGGACTTACAAAAGGGAAATCGCGCTCGACAAATCTACTGGAATTCTTCGAGGATGTAATTTGTAGAGCTGTTTGGGGGAATAAGCGGGCATCGTTTATTTGGACTTTCAGAAGGCATTCAACAAAGTTCCACATTAGAGAATAATATGTAAAATTAAAGTGCATGGGATTGGGGGATAGCGTATTGAGATTGCACCATTAGATAGCAGACAGGAAATGAAGAGTTGGAATAAATGAGCCCTTTTCTGAGTGGCAGGCAGTGAGGTACTGCAGGGGATCAGTCCAAGGACCTCGGTTGTTCACAATATATGTTTGTGATTTAGATAAAATGTAATATCTCAAAATTTGCAGATGTCAAATTCCTGGGTGGAAGGATGAGCAGCGTGCAGAGGTGTTGCTTGTGATTGTGGGCAAATGCAATATAATGTGTATAAATGCAAGGTTATCCACTTTGGTAGCAAAAAATAGGAAGGTAGATTATTACATGAATGGCTGTGAATTGAGAGGCAAATTTTCAACAAGATCTGGGTGTCCTGGTGCACCAGTCATTAAAGGTAAGGTCGCCGATACAGCAGGCAGTAAAGAAGGCAAACTGTATGTTGACCTTCATGGCAAGAGGATTCAAATACAGGTTAAAGGAGTTCTGCTGCAGTTATATAGGTCATTGATGAGGCCACATCTCGAATTTTGTGTGTAGCTTTTGGTTTCCTTATTTGAGGAAGGATGTTTTTGCTATAGAGGAAGTGCAGCGAAATTGATTCCTGTGGTGGCAGGACGGACTTATGAGGAGAGATTGAGTCAGTTAGGATTGTATTCAGTGAAGTTTAAAAGAATGATGGGGGAGATCTCGTAGCAACCCATAAAATTCTAATCGGACCAAACAGGATTGATGCAGGAAGAATGTTCTTGATGCTGGGGGCATCCAGAACCAGGGGTCATAGTATAAGGAGTAAATGGGTAAATGGGAAGGGTTTAGAGGCATATGGGCAAAATACTGGCAAGTGGGACTAGATCAGTTTAGGATATCTGGTCAGCATGGACAAGTTGGACCGAAAGGTCTGTTTGACTCTAATGACTCTATAAGGAGACATTTCTTCACCCAGAGAGTGGTGAGCCTGTGGAATTCACTATCACAGAAATTGGTTGAGGTCAAAATGTTGTGCTTTCAAGAAGGAGATAGATCTAGCTCTTGTGGCTAAAGGGAACAAAGGATACGGGTGAGGGTGAGATTGGGTTATTGAATTTAATGATCAGCAGTGATCATAATGAATGGCTTAGCAGGCTTGAGGTGTTGGAGGCCTACTCCTGCTTCTATCTTCTCTGTTTCCACGATTTCAAACTTGATGTGGTGGGGGATGGCAAGTGTTACTGTTCCATTTGAAATGTAAACTTGATTAAAACGAATGAAATTACAACCATCTGACAACCCTATAGCACAGCAGAACACCACTTTAAGCTGAAGGAATACTGAGCGTAGTCTTAAAATACCGGGACCAATGCTATGTGGAAGAAATGTACATGATCAGAAACCAAGCCTCACTTCTGAGCAGAAATGCCTGCTTTGCTCCTAATATTCGTCAGTATGTTAGAGAAGCTTAATCAGCTCAAGGGAGGCGACGGCCGAGTAGTATTCTCACTGGACTGTTAATCCAGAGACCTGGGTGGTCTTTTGGGGCTCAGATTCGAATCCTAGCATTGCGGATGGTAGAATTTGAATTTAATAAATATCTGGAGTTAGGCATCTAATGATGACAATGAAACCATTGCCAATTGTCTGAAAAACCCATCCGGGTTCAGTCATGTCTTTTAGGGAAGGAAACTGCCATCCTTACCTAATCTTGCCTACATGTGACTCCAGACCGATAGCAATGTGGTTGACTCTTGAGTACCCTCTGGGCAATTAGGGATGGGCAATAAATGCTGGCCTAGCCAGTGATGCCATTATTTAATTCGCATGAGTGAATTTAAAAAAAAGCCAAATAAGAATGATCAGTGTAACTTTACTCAACAAAAGGAAGACTTCATAGGTGTCAGAAGAATGTCCGCTGAAATGAAGAGGAAATGTGCACTGCTGTAGATTTAACCACCTTGGTGTCCATCACTCCTTTATGACTGAGAGTTCAGCAGAAACAACAGATTTCACAGGTTTGTGGAATGTTTCAATTTTCTTCCAACTGCACACACATCTTCAAAATCTGTTCATCAGACGTATTTGACACCACAAGGACCAGGAGCTCATGGTGGCCTCGATATGGTCAATCCAGCTGTTTGGAAGTGTTCAAAGTGATGTGATCAAACCTGATAAAATGACTGTGTCATCCAAAAGAATGGAAGAATCGCATGCAAGTATATCTTGTTACAACAGTAAAAAGAAGATCACCTTTTTCAGAAACAGCTCTCGTTTCCATTATAAATTGGGGAGACTACAGATCCTCCGACAGTGACAAATATTCAACAGCAACATCGATGCCAGAGAACGTTCTCTGGGCAAAAGCATTCAGGAATTCAAAGATCCACCAAAGTCCCAGTGAACCTCCACCTGAATGTTTGGACCACAAGCAGCGACTATAACACCATAAAATGTAGGAACAGAAGTAGGCCTTTCAGCCCATCGAGACAGCTTCACCATTTGATGAGGTCGTGGCTGATCTGATGATCCTTAACTCCCACTTTCCTGCCTTTGTCCCGTAACCCTTGATTCCCTCACTGATTAAAAATACCTCATCCTTAATGACCTAGCCTCTACTGCCCTCTGCAGTAAATAATGCCACAGATTCACTACCCTCTGATCGAGAAAACAAAGTTCCTCCTCGTCTCTATCTTTAAATGGGCAACCCACCTAAGTCATTGACCAGTTAGAAATTGGGGGTTGGGGCAGTATATGGGCAATGATAAGCCGATTTTACTTACTTGTAACAGTTTTAAAAATAATGTAATACCCCAGAAAATAATTTTGGGGACATGTTGTGTAAACAATTAGTGCCAGCAAGTGTTAACTGACAGCATTTAATAAGTTCCACCCACCAGCTCTTCCCAGGAGGAGCTAAATAGTGAGTTATTACATTGTTTGGCTTGTTAATTGTTTCTAAGCAGATCATTTCAATAGCAGTAATGTGTACTCGCTTTTGCATATATCCCAAAGTCTCATAAAGGACTGTCATGTATCTCCACTGTAATGTAACTCGCCATTAAGTACTATGTAATAAACCAACTCTCCTCATTCAGACTGAGTCTATCTTCTGCTGAAGACTTTGTGTGGGCATTCTTTCCCAGCTGGTATCAGAAACTTAGGCCAATTCCAAGAAGGATTGGTGGTGATGTATCTACCCATGGCATCACAGATGGCTCTGGTGGACACGACCAGAACATATCACCAAGAAGATAGAGGTCAACAAGATTAAGAGAGGCGTGAATAAAGTGGATAGATACAGGCTTTTTCCCAGGGTGGAAAGGTCAACTACAAGAGGGCACAGGTTCAAGGTGAGTGAGGGAAATTTTAGGGGAGAAGTGCAGGGAAAA